AACACATACTGGGAGTGTGTATCTCTCTCAATCAACAACAACGGAGGAGGAGGAAAAGAGCGAGATACACACAGACTGTGAGTCAGAAACGGATAAGGGCTTCACTCAAAAGGGTGGAGCTGCGGCTGCTTATGCCGACAAGACCTATGCTTAAGTCTTTAATTAAGACACCGACGACGAGACAATGCAAGTCCCACTCTTGCGCTTAGACTTCGGTCAGTGCTCCCGACGTAGCTGTCTTCATAACTACAGATGAATATATATATATATTATATTATATAATATATATATATATGTCGAGAGCACTGACAGGTCTAAGCGCCAGAGTCAACGACTGCCGAGGAAGCTCGGCAGTCACAAAGCACTTGCTTACCACCGGGCACCGAGTCAATCCTGATGAATCCATTCACAGTCCTACTACGCAATCGGCGGCCTCCCATGTTTAGGCTATTGGAGGCTATCGTTATCGATTGCAAGCAACCGCCAATGTGCATTCAAAAACAGTTGATTGTAACTTTAAGCCTACCCTGGTAGCGTGAATGCGGCTATTTACCATCCCTTTGACATTGTTGGTTATTCATCTACATACCATTGTTTCATGTTTTTGTGATAGCACGAAATGACGACGTCATCCCACAACCTAGGTTTGCGGGTTTTCCTGTTTGGAATTATAAAGGAAACATCTTGTTTTGAAGTCTTTTTGTTCAGATAATGCACGATCAGTCGTTCAAATACGGATGGCAGTTGAAACATTGGTAGCTCGGATTGATCGTTACGGCTAGCACATGTTTGCAATCAAACTGCAAAGCTCGGCGAGCAATCCAGGATAATTCTTGTGGTATGTTGCGGGTATAATACATGGTAGTTCGATCTGCATGGTAAAGTCCACAATTACTAACAAAACTAGAAGCTGGAGAGCACTTAAAACATTTGTGGCATAGCATCGGCCAGTAGCTCAAGTGCTTGACTCACAATGCAAGGACTGTCGATTCGATCTTTCGATTGGCCTCGTAGTATCTATAGCCAGCACACGAGAGCCAGTCACTGCGCAGCGGAGAAGAGCTGTCACGAGATGCTGGGCATTCTGCCAATGCGGAGACCAATTGGTTCAGTAAATTTACAACTGCCGGTTTGCAAGCGTACATTTAATGGGAGATGACATCAACGCTCTTACACACTAGGGTGAATTGCCAGCATTCCGCGTCTATACGTGGTGCAAGTATGACGGCATACGTCGTTTTACAGTATACCAGGAACATTTCCGCATGGCAGATAATCCCACTGATTTGTGACAAACACGTCGATCGCAACATCGACCATCCCCGCACAAAATAGGTCATTACGAAGCCTTAGGATATCTCCCGGTGAAGATACTGTTGAAACAAAACCAATTTGTATGTATATGGAGAGACGGTTACATCGGCAGAACCGAGAAGGAGAAGTTAATCCTCCTTCGGCGATATGTGCCTGCGTAAGCCGTCATCGTAATCCATAGGCAGGCACACTTTGGCGACCCGTCATCAGGTTAATACCTTATGGGCGTTTCAAATATCATAACGTCATACAAATTCACGCCTTTCGCGATTTGCCCAAGCCGTCGCGATAAGCCGGAGTAGACAAGCTTAATACGTTCAAAAGTAACTAGTTGTCAACCTGAGGTCCTAATGCCAACACCACTGTGTGATTGGCCTGGTTATGCACTTTGACACGCATGTATTTCTCAGTCGTTGTATTGCTACTAATGGGAGAATACATGTTCTTCATATCATTTGGCTGTTCAAAACTGATGTGGTTTTGCCAAGTTTCCACGTAATCTTTGCTTATGATTAAAAAGAGCTAATCATGCAGAAGATAGGATCGCGTCGTACGGTCTGGCGAACGTACGCCATCCGCGTTTGTTGATTGATAACGTATTTGGCATTCTCAGCCAGATGACAGGCACGCACCCTACCTACGCAACGTTCAACAAAGGTGACCATAGATCGAACAATTTTCCGACTGTTAGTGGTGTACACCAAGATGATTGTTGCTGTACCGGTGGTTGTCCAGTTGACACGTGATGTGAAAAACCACCGACCACATACCACACTATTCATATGAAGTTTTCTTTGAACTAGCCGTTCGTACACCCAAATTTAACACGAAAAATGCAGCGTACCATCGTCATTCACATACAGTCTGTTTAAAGAAGCAGTGCCTTAAATATCTTCCAGCTAATGCGTGTTCACTGGAAGTAGATTGCTATGATAAGTGACGTATCGATCCCCATTGTTCCTCCATGTGTCCCATCTAACAAATATTTCTCGTGCCGCTTTTAGCTTTTGAGAGCAATGAGTTTCTCCATAATCAAGGAGAAGTGGAGCTCCTGTAGAGTGGTGAACTTCATCCATGTGGACACGGCTATCAAGTTCGACACGAACGCAACTGCACTTAGCGATATCATTGAAGCAAGAGTTGTACTAACATACCCAATGGGGCAGGCGGTCCACATTACCCAAGAAGATTTCGCGGAAGCTCTGAATGAAATAGTCAAAACGGGAAAAGAAAAAGACTTTGGACAATTTTTTGATGGAAAATTCAAAGTAGAAAGTACGTTATCTGTGTCGTCCCGAAAATTCTTGTTTAACATGAGTACGTTAACACGAGAAAAGCTATGATATGAAATAGTTTGAAACCCCAAGACCATTGGTCCCCTACTCGCTATACCAAGCGTTGTTCGCGGATCTCACTGATTAGTGGTCAGCTCCTTAGTTTTGGTTACCTCGATCCGATGAGTTCAGATAAGAACGAAATTGCCCGTGGATTGCAGTGTGTAGAGCGAGCAATCTCGAATCCAAATATCCAAATATTGTCTGATCACTAGCCAAGTGAAAATGTCATCATCACACCACTCGATACAGCCGCGCATAGTGAAGTCAACCGTGCGTTTGAAGGCGTTCGTAGTTACAGCATTTGAACCTTAAGACTTCTTGAGCCGTAACCTCGTGTTTCAATAAACAAAGCGTAGGCAGATGATGGGGAAATCCTAAGTGGACTGGGTCTACAAATTGCTGTGGATGACAACCTGTTTTCAGAAAACGACTAATGTATGTAGTACCTAGCCGAAACGTAAGGCGGAAAAGCGTGATTACACAATGAATAGAAGACGTCCGCTTTCTGGCAATTACGCAGTGTTTCCAACTCACCTATGAGTATTTGCATTAACCGAAGTGCGTTGGTCTCTTCTCACACCGTGCCTGCTTCGACCGGTCCACCCAACTCGATTGGCTTCGCAGTTCGCCTTATGGGCTAAGCACGAAACCTATGGCCTATGGTCCGCTAATGCGGTCACGTGACCGGACGTTAGCACCAATCCTAGTGAGCAGTTGATAGGCTGGCACATTGGCTGTCCACCTCATGCGGAGCGCCAGACGTGTCAACCGAATCATTGGCCCCACAGTGTGAGCGTGTTGATGCGTGGATGTGCTGCTGATTGTGATGTGCACAGCTATGGAGCGTGGCCGGTTCAACCTTGTGCACTTGTCGGGGTAGTGTACGTACGCGGCCGCACATCGTTGAACAATGAACAATGAACAATGAATTTATACGGGTTAAGAAGCGTTGCTTTACAAGCCCCGTTGGATAGTTGGTGGGGAAATCAACATAATAATTATGATGAAAAGGATAGTAAAATAGTTAACACTTTAAATACGAAAATAAGGACTTATCGTTTGCTTCGCCGCAGTCCTGCGATCCCCTTAGATTCACAACACCCACAGTTAACAACAAATAATTCCAGGGTAAACTCCAGGTGTAGGATGGAGACATAGTGTTAAGTAACAAAGTGTAAGTGGATGAGTGCATCGTCCAACCGTCTTTTAAATATTGTTAGTGTCGGTGCAGAGACGACCGATTCTGGGAGAGCATTCCACGGGTGACAGACACGGATGGAAAAGAAATTTCTGCGACACTCCAGACGACTGTATTGTTCTGCGAGTTTTAATGAGTGGCCCCTCAGGTTTGTATTGCTACTGAGTTGCAGTAAAGGGCGGCACACATGATGTGGGTCTCGCAGAATCAAGTATGTCATAATCAGGTCGCCTCGTAGCCTGCGATAGCTTCCACTGAACAATCCCAGTCGTCGCAGCCTCTCCTGGTAGGACAGATTGCGTATTCCAGTTACGTTCTTAGATAGCCGGCGTTGTGGCTGCTCCAGTGCATTAAGGTCGTGTTTCAGCCATGGATGCCAGGCTTGAATTGCGTATTCGACATGGGGGCGAACATACGCACTGAGCATTTGTCGAAATATGGAGCTGTTTATTCGTCCAAACGCCCGCCTCAACAGCCCAACGTGTTGATTCCCGGTCTTGGAGGCCTTTTCCGATTGCCTGGAGCAACCCAAGTCATCTTGAACCAGGACACCCAAGTCACGTTCGAGAGTTGATTGTTGCAGTACATCCGTTCCCAGTCGGTATGAGTAGCTGCCCTGATGTCGGATGGAAAGCACCTTGCATTTACTGACGTTGAAATGCAATAAGTTTTGCATCGACCATTGATACACTGTATCTAAGTCACTTTGGAGCACATGTTGGTCGGCGTTCTCCTGGATCCTGCGCCAGATCTTGATATCGTCGGCGAACATTAGGAAGTTTGAAGCGATTCCCTGTGCAAGGTCATTAATAAACACCAGAAACAAACGTGGACCTAGAACCGAGCCTTGCGGCACACCACACTCGACTTGTATGGGGTCCGACAAAGAGCTCCGAACTCTGACCACTAATTGCCTTTGAAATAGAAAGTTAGCGATCCAGCTTAAAAGAGGGTCTCCGATCCCGTAATACTGCAGCTTGGATAGTAGTATCCGATGGTCTAGACGATCGAAAGCCTTGGAAAAATCCAGGTATATCACATCAACACCTTCTCCAGCGTCGGCTGCCTCGGTCCAACTACTGCGTGCAATGAGTAAATTAGTTGTACATGACCGCTGTCGACGGAAACCGTGCTGTTCAGGAGTGATGAGGTTGCAGTTCTCCAGATAGCACACCAGGGCATCGGCAATTATGGATTCCATGACCTTGGAGAGTATAGGAAGAAGGGTTACTGGGCGGTAGTTGGAGGGATCAGATCTGCTTCCACCTTTGTGAATCGGGCTTATTATTCCAAGCTTCCACATGGCGGGAACTTGGTTCTGGTCTAAGCAGTGCTGGAAAAACTGAGCTAAATGTCCTGCCAGTTGGTTTGCTGCTACTCCCAATGCCTCAGAACGAATGGCGTCGACACCCGGCGAGCTGTGTTTGCGTAGAGAGGTCAGCTTTTGCAATACAGCCTCTGCGGTAAAATTGATGTGGGTTAGTCCTGGTGAGCAGAAGACAAAGCTTGGGAGATCGCTTGGTGGCAAGACCCTTTGAAACGTGGGGGCGTATTGCATCTGCAGCGCGTTTGCAGCTTCCATAGACGTTCTTGTTGGGCCATCAGCCGTCTTGAGTGGAGGAAATCCTTGCCTCACCTTTCGTAGGCTATTAACGTGCTTGTACAGCAGTTTGTGGTTAGCACTGAAGGTTTTTGCGATGTTCTGCTGATAGGCGGCTTTGTCTTCTCTTAACAGTTGAGTGCAGTGGTTACGTTGGGCTACGTAGTTGTCCCACGTTTCTGGTGCTGGAGCTTCTTTGTACACTCGCCATGCTGCGTTGCGTACTGTCATCCATTTTCGGGTTCTGCTCCTAACGAAAGAAACGGATTTGCACTTATTGTAAGCTTTTATCTCTGAAGCCTGTGCAATCAGCTGACTGAATGTGTTGACGAACTCGAGCCAGGCGAGTTCTGGGGGTTCTTCTTCGAGGAAGGACCATGTTGTGGCGCTGACTAGCTGGGCGAGTCGGTCGTACCTTGTGATGGTTCGCACAGTCTCATCTTTATCATTCCGATATTCTGCATAGCAGACGAAGTTGAAACTGATCACTGCGTGATCACTGCGACCCAACGGGCAGTCTAAAACCAACGCATCAATCATATGCTCTTCGTTGGTAAGCACAAGATCCAACACAGATGGCCTGTTACCAGTTCTGAACCGAGTGGGCAAAGTGATGTGGTTGTAAAGAGGAGCAGTGGTTACTAGATCTTGTAAATCGATTTTGAATTGTTCGCCGGTTGTGGCAGGGGCTTCTAAACAATGTACGTTGAAATCACCCATGATAAGAATGTGAGTGTACTTTGGTTGTAAACTGCACCTTAAAGCAGCCATTAGGTGGTAGTCGGTTTCGGGTGTTGAGTTAGGGGCGCGGTACACCAAGATAATAAGGCAAGCGTCCCTACCTTATAACTGCAACCGGCACCAAAGAGAGTCGGGGAACTGCGAATCTGAATCCTCCAAGGCTTCGTTCTGGAAGTCGTTCCGGTAGTACAGGATTATCCCTCCTCCTTTTGTGAGCCTATCGTTCCGGATCAGCGACATGCCCGGTAGCGACACTTCAGCGTCCGTCATTCCCGTGTGCAACCATGTCTCGGTGATACCAATGACATCATACGAGCCGGAAGCTTGGTGATCTTTCAGTTCAGCCAGTTTGTTAGGAAGACCCTGAGCATTTGTATACAAGCAGGACAGTTTCTCGGTCTCTAGGAGCCCGCAGAGAGGTGAAGCTGTCAAGTGTGGGAGAATGCCGACCGATGGGAGGTCGGCAGTTATTCGTTTTTTTGATGGGTCAATGATACCTACTTTGCAACTTGATTCGGCCAAGGTGCGTCCCAGCCTTCGTTTAGACCTACGTCAGAGTCAATTAAAGCAGCAGTCAAGTTACACTTCTGGACATTCGTCAGTATGCTTGCTGCTTCAGTTGCTTTAATACTTGAGCTTTGCGAATTGTTTGCGATCTTTAACCAAATTTCGGAAGGAAGATGTTTCCGATTTCTCCGCCATCGATCCAAAATAGCCTTTGCTTGTTGCTCTGACTGAACCACAAGTTTTAGGATTCTAGGGCCACATCCTCTATAATTCGATGAGAGAGGTATCCTGGTGAGCGATAGTGCCACAACATTATCCAAAGTGTTCCACGAATGAACCGCCACTGTTCTGAATCGTGCTTTCCGGTCTCTTGAACATTGTTAGAAGGATGTTCTGGCACGCCATGTATGAAGACTGTGTTTAGGCGGTCTTGCATGCTGTGCCCCTCTTCAGTGTTCGTTTTGGCTGTCGCGCGCTCCAATGGACATCAGGATAGATACGTATCACACAGGATTCGTGTTTTAGCGTGCTTACACAGAGCAAAAGGTTTTCCACGTCGGTGGAGGATTCTAGAGTTACTCGAATAAGTCTGGGTTCACCATGGTGTGGCGAGTTCGGATGACGAGTACTTCGTAACAAATTTATGGGCTTGGCTTTGATACTCATCTGCATACACAATGAGTTCCATTGGTCTTGGTCTTCTGATAACTTATCCCGCAAGGTGATGGCGGTAGATTCAGGGACATTTGAGCATACAACAGTCCGGGCACTGTTGTTGGATCCCTTTTTAATCGATCTACAAGGTATGGTACTCATTTGTCTTGACTTGTTGACAAGTGATTGTTTGCTGTTTTTCTCTCCATTTGCGTTAACGGTATTTACAATGGAAGAGGACGCAACGGCGGCCTCTCGGTGTACCCTTGCAGCAATCTCTGAATATGTAACCCATGTTCTGGGAGGCTTAGTCTCGACAAGAGGTATTTGAGCTGCAGGTACCAAGGGTTGGTGTTTGGCTGCTCCATCCTTGTTAACACTATATGTCAGGTCTAGTGGAATTTGCTTAACCAGACGTTTTGAATGGTGCCTGATTTTCTTTGCTGTGAGTACTGCTTGATTCACGGAGGTACAGTCTGTTTTCGCCCGGCGTTCTACCAAAGTTGGAGAAGACAACGGAGATGGAGACATGGCTGATTGCGGTGCAGGCGAAGCGATTTGTTCAGTATTCCCTTGCTTAGCAGCCGCTCCGCTTCTGTGGTCCATACTCGCTCCCAATGAAGTAATCTTATTGTTTATCCTCTGCTCCGCTTCTGCGATTAACCGGTCGCATTTCTCAGCTAGGGTAAGCAAGCACTTAACGAGGGGGATGGTGGAACACGCAGTACATAACCAAAATGCATCTTGGGAGCTATTTCGCTCCCGTAACTGTTGTTGGGACACATTTGCACATTTCGTATGGTACCATGCTAAACAGTGCGAACAAGCCAGACCGATTTTTACCACCCGA